ACTACCTCCCTCCTCCTCTCTCTCTCTCTCTCTCTCTCTCTCTCTCTCTCTCTCTCTGTCCCCTTCCTATTTTTTTCTTTGAATGCAAATACAATTGTACAATTGTTACCCTCTCATGGCGAGAAATATTTTTACAGAGAGTGCTCGTGTCTTCCTCCCGCAAATAAATCCGCATATTTTTGCGTTTTAACTTCAATATGTGACTATCTGTTCCTATATATATTTTTTGCGTTCTCATTCGTGATTATCTTTTAGCGTTTTTGACCGCAGTGAGTTTTAATTGAAATCAAATAAAAGATTCAAATATATTATATGTTCGATTTGTTCGAATAATTGGAAGATAAAAAAAAGATATAAAATTTGAATAATTTAGACAGTTTGAATAATTTAAACTTAAGCAATAATCGTTTTGTAATATCTGTTTATTACGTTAAAATTTTGACAATTCTGATGATAAAAAATATTAGAAATTTTTATTGCGAATTCTTCATTTAATTTTACATATATATGTTTTTACGTTTTACTAATCTAAAGTGAGTTTAAACAATTTAAATATATTTTTAATTCGGAAGATTTGAATTATTTCATATTTACTATCGAGATTCAAATTATTCAAATTGTTAACTGACTCATCTGACGTTTTCGAGCGCTAGTTTGAATTAATTTAAAATCGATTAAAATATATGTATCGTACATTAAAATGTTGATAAAAGCGTAAATATTTCGTAAATTGTTCCACTATTTTTGTTGAGTGCAAAAGTTGATCGAAACTTATTTAATGTTCCAAATATAAACATAATATAAACATAAGAAATAAATTTTTTTATCTTTTTGTTGTGTTACAATCAATGCATCTTCAATTAAATTGAATCATAAACTCAGATTTGATTGAAAATATGAAAAAAAAAAAATGTATAAAATATAAAATTATTAATATTTCAACTTGCTATGAAATAATTATACTTTGATGTTTTTTTTAAATATTAAGTGTTTAATCATCTAAATTTGGATATAATCAACTTGATATAATCTTCATAATCCAAAGTAGATCATATGACGTCATGAATCGCTCTCGAAACGCGATAAAAGTAGCGCCTTCTACTCTCTCGGTAGAAAGCACTATTACTCGTGAGAAATATTCTAACTGTATTATTCTCTATTTTTTTCTCTCTGGAAATTGCTAGACGCAAAATGCATTCTGGTGATTCTTAAAGTATTATATGGTTCACGATAAGAAATTGAAATTTGCTGTAACCGGAATCAACTTCGACTTTTCATTGTTATAAACAAAAATTTATGACAACTGTTCTCGATAAATTCATAAATTACACAGGATGAATCCATGACTCAAAATACTATAGCAAAAAAGTTTTTGAAGAATTAAGCAAAAATGTTATTTGAAATTTTTTTATTTCAAAAAGAAGTAATTTCTTAGGTACGAGGGTTTAAGACTGGTCAATTACAAAAATATTTAGACATAGTTATATACAAATTATGCATGTGATAGTATTAGTGACGCTAATTAAGTTTTCATTGACACCAATCTGAGATTAATTAGTTTTAAAGCCCACTTGAGATAAGAAAATAAATATTTTTATTTAATTCTTCGAGAACTTTCTTACTACAGTATTTTGAATCACAAATTTCCGGATGCCATGTGTATTATCTTCCTCCATACAAATTATTAATTGAACATAGTTTTTTTTTTCAATTGAAATAAAACGTCAGATTTGTAGAATAAAATAAATAAATTTTTGCAACAATCAATAGAAATTACGCGAATAAAAATGCACAGTTCATTTTCGTCATAGCATAATAATTATTTATTAATTTTTTATTTATTAATTTACGTACATGATTACGTACGCAGATGTATTGATTCCTGCAATTAATACATATGCTTTCTGGTAAACGCACGAAAGATTCGCCTGGATTTTTGTAGCTTAATTAGCGCAACAAATGTAGTCACTGTGCGGATGTGCGCGTGTCGCGGGATGTATTTTTGGAGGACAGGGTGGCAAGGGCGAAGAATTCGGGATTCTATCCACTGCTCCCTCACGCCGACTCTCTGTTTTGCTATGCGTTTCGTTCTTTCCGACGAAGAAACGCCGCTCTGACTCGCGCAGTTCCTACAAAATGAACCATTTTTTCGCCGCGCGCAACGTCAAGCAGAATAATAATAATTCGCGTTGTTTTATTTTTTTTTTTTTTTTCTTTACCTTGGCGAAAGCTCTGATTTGGAGCAAACCGTGAGTGACCTCGCAGGAATCCTCGTATTGCTTAATGAATCCCCGCCGTACGGCGGTAGAAATAAGTTTATTGAAAGGCAGTGACGTAGTGCGAAATCTAGTGCTCTTGAGAGCAAAAGTTTTATTCGGACTCGATACTTTCTCTCTATAATAAATGAATGTAGAGAATTTTTTGTTATCTATAAAATTTACTATACTACAAATTTCACTCTATTTGGCGATAAACTTGGAACGATTTGACACCTATTGATATATTAGTGGTAATAATAACTTTTCAAATGCATAAAAGATATTTTATAAACCATTAATAAACATTTCAAAGCTGATTGTAAAGTGACTCTAAGACAAAATTTATACAAGCGAAATAAATACGATAATATAAATGAAATTTGTACAAATGTAATATTAATAGATACTAACTATATTTTATCGGACAATTTAAGTCGTAGAAATTGATGTTTATAATTTATAATATTATAATATTCCTTAAAGCGCGTTTAATTATTTTTTTTTAATATAATGATTCTGTTACAGGGTCACAATGGCTACCGCACAATTGAACAGAACCAGGACCGTAAAGAAGCTCGAAAAACCACGGCCGCTTAAGCTTAATCAGCGCAACTCGACCGTCGATGGGCGGATCACGACTGGTAAGTTTTTGTATCTATTTTCTCCTAATTAAAACCTGCAATCTCTCGAAATGAGAATGTTATATAAAAATATAATGATTCTTTCGCGAAATGCCGTGGATATTAATTTAAACGTTCGCGTTTCTTTTCAAATTAGATCGACTCCGCATGAATTTTTTTTGCTTCTTCTGATTTTTCAGTAGAGGATATAGTGTCCTTAATCGACAATGTTGCGATGCAACTGACCAATGGCTTTCATGACCGAACGCTGCAAATGAATGTGATTTCTATGTGTAGTCATCTGAAACTCTACGCCAATCAATTAGAAGCTATTTACAAAGGTAAATCCGATCTTACACGAAATATGTTTTAAAAGTCGATTCGACTTACGCTTTCTTGCGCGTGAAATTCAATTGCAAATTTTAGGACGTCCATTATTTTGCAAATAATCATTTTTCCCCCTTTTTTTATTGTAGATCAGCTGGACCGAGCCTTTGTGGCGATCAGAAATGGGAGCCAGGACGATAGATTAGATCTGACGACCAGGGTTCATCTGCTGGAACTTATTGAGCTGCGAGCGAAACAATGGCGTCACACTGACTCGATGGACGTATACTACATGCAGAAGTTGTCGCATCTAGATAATGTAGGTAAAAATAGCATCTTGTTTTTTTTCTCTTTTATGTTTGTATAACTTTTTGGAAGTTTATGTATTCTTGATGATTACATATTTCCTGTTTGAATATCTTGGTCTACATAGATTTATTTGTTCAAAGAATTTTTTTAATAATTAAAAATTAAAAACAAGTAATAAAACTCTAAGATGTCGTTAATATTGGAATAAATTCAATAAAATTCAACACTAAGGAAATGTAAATACAAAGGTTTAAATTAATAAAGTAAATAAAGGTTTAAATAATAAACAAATATTTTTTTAACTTGATTTAAATAGTTTCATTAAATATTTACTTAAGTCATACTTTCTCTTAATTAAATTAAGGAGAAAGATTAAATGAATTTTGTTTCTTTTTAATAGACCGAGACGATACCCGATACACCTACGAACTCTTTATCATCCCCTTTGTTGACAATGACTTCATCTACTTCGGCACCGATTCTCGGGCCTGGTGAAGTGATCAAGAATAGTGGAAAGTTTGCGAAGCCTACGCGCATACCGGGGAAGAACTATTGCAAAGACGAGGTTGTCATTCGCAACAGCGACTCGGGAAAAGGTGATTTAATTGCTCTTATTACATTGTATAAAATTTTTATGGAATTAAACAGGTATATCTGATTCTTACGCGGCTCAAAATGCAGCCCGTAAAATTTTGACAATCTTCATTACAATACTTGTAAGTTGTTTACAATATCTTTAATATCACGATGATCGATAGGGATTTATAGATGAAAATAACGATTTGATTTTTATATAAAGCGAAACTAATAATCCATCGTATTAGATTTTTTAATAATTTTCTGATTATGTTGGCCATTTTCTATTGTTAAATAATTTACACGAAAATACAGTGATGGGAATAAAAGGGCGGCGGGTTCACATGATAGAAGAGCTCAGCCAGACGATCATCTCCTTCCAGCGAGGTAAAAAGCAAAGAATGATCCGCCAATGGCCGCTTGTCACAGCATTTTGTGCTCATGCATCGCAAAAACGATATTAATTGGTCGAACAAAGTTCACCCGTCCCGTAAAAACACGTCTCTAATCCTCTCTTACATCACTGAGCATTGAGTTTGATGTGAGAAACTCGTATCGATTATCATTATTAAAAAACGATATATCTATAATATGTAAAAAAGATATTCACGTTTGTAATAAAAGAAACTGCAGCCAGCGTTTTCTTATCAGGTCATTTAGTTTGCATGGCGAAGCTATTGTCTAACCAACGTGATCAGGTCACTGAGTTAATGTTTTAGTTTTGCAGCGTGATTTACTAATCGAGAAGTGTCAAAGCACGAGAAGTGCCAAAGCACGTCAGCTTTCTTTCACGTGTGATGATAAAGATTTCAAGTTACACTTTGCAATATTAGATTTATCAAATTTATTTTTCTCATTTTGTTTATTCTGTTGAAAATTTTGAATAAATGTAATGTCTAAATACCGATCAGCAGAATGTATCTCTTTAACAGCTCGAAGAGTGAAGTATATGTTACGCGTTGCATTCGCAGCTTTAAGGGTCGAGTAGAGATATTGTCTTACATTACCAGTTTTATATTAACGCACTCCAGGTCGACGGATCGATTACGTGTCGCGAGTTCCACGTGAATAGGAAGGTTGGCATTTAATTAATAACTTTGACGTTTTCGTTAATATCGCACATAATAATTCGAGCGAGTGAGATACTTTTTTTATCTCGTACTTGAATGTGATTTTATGTACACTTAAGTATCAATTGAATACGTTGTATTTACCTTGCTTTGGCGATATCTTAACAATTTAATATCACATCTCGTTTAACATATTAACCGTGTCTTTGGATTGGACTTGTGTAAAAGATATTAACGATAACTTTTACACGATTTCTTTTTTTTCTAATATTAACAAGGCTATACTACTGATACTATATATATTGGTTTTGTAGTAAACCCTGGAGCTAAAGAACGACTTGTCCAAATCACGGGAACGTCCGAGGACAAGATTCAGTATGTCTAAATAATATTTATAATAGAGTAGTTTATAGTTTAATACTAAATATATTCTGTAATACCTGAATATATCTAGTAAAACAACACGTTTCTCATATTAATGAGAGTCTCGTCAAAATTTCTCATATTTCTCTTTTCCCCTCTTCTTGCCGCCAGTTATGCGAAGGATTTAATCAAAGATACGATACAACGAAATGCATCGCCGGTGAGACTGGAGCAGAGCCCCGGCGGCGAAAAGGGGGCTATGGGTGGTTCCAGCTCCTCCCTCAACAGTAGCGCATCGGACGAGAGCAATCGGCTGCAGCAAAATCAACAGCAACACAACAACTCTCGTCTGCGTTCGTCTCTCCTGCACAGTTTCTCCACCAACGACGCCAGCATAGGCGAATACAAGTATACCGTCACCGTCGGTAACCAGTCCCTTAAAATCACGGGCTGCAATCTCGACCTCGTCAGGGTAATAATAAATAAAAATCGCATCTGTCACATTTATCTAATTCTTTATCTAATTCTTCTAAACTGAACAGAGAATATTAGACTTTTAATCAGATTTAGATTTATTGAGAAATATCTTCTCTATTTATATTCTAATTTATGTATTTATGCATGATTTTCATGAATCATTGACATACAGACGGCGAAACTGGTGTTGGACGAACATTTCCTGGGCGATTCTGAGAATTTTACCAGCGGGATAGAATACTTCAATTACGAGGACGAGCCCAGCTTCGCCATAACTAACACCTCTACCCCCAATGTTCTCCGCACGCCGTTGTCACCATTAGACAACGTTAACGCTTCTGCTTCTTTAGGCCGAGAATTAAGTGTGGATAGCGCTGCGACCTCTTCGGAGAGCGAAGAAACCTACAAGCCTCGTCCGATTTCCGAAGAGCGATGCTCGACTCAACAAGGTATTAATTTATGATATATTATGATTATTATATAATTTATCATAACAAGAAAATCTATTAGAAATTCTATTTATAATTTTTCTCATTTATAATTTTACTAAAATAAGATTTGAGGCGCGTTGGTTAAAACATTAAAATTAGGTAATCAATTAGGCATCAATTACAATTGAAGTAAATAAATTAATTTCAATCAATTAATAGAAAAAAATGGGCAAATAAAAATCAAATGCAATAATAAATGCACAAACATTAAAATACTTACGAAATGATACCTATATTAAAGATATTGTTAAATGATTGTTACCTTAAAAGTTTTAATTTTGGCACATTTATTACCGCGCTTGACTTTCATTTGCCTACTTTTTTCTGTTAATTATTTTTTTTTTTATTTTTGAGACTCCCTGCTCTATTTATTCTTTAATTTTAGTCGTTGTCTAATTCAGTTCCAGAAGCGAGAGAACTTACATATGAGTTTCTGCTGCTGTGCGCGTCGGGTCCGTACGCGAAACGGCCCCCCGCCGACTGGACGCGCATACAGAAGGAATGTCCCAATATAGTTCGTAAGGTACCGCTATGTGACCGGAACGCCAATCATATACCGTGCAAAACCTTCCGCATTACTTTTCCCAGCAACGCCACGATTTAATACTTTTGTTTAATACAATACGCATACCATAATACTCACTATATATAACATTAACGTCTCGTTGCGAAACAAATTTGCGTTCTTCTCTTCGGATCGCGGTGCAGCACGAGCGTGATTAGTGCGGTATTTTTTAATCGCATGCATTCGGACGGGAAAGGGATGAAGACGAGATCTGTTCTATTTAATACAATCAGACATTCTCACGTCACTGAGAGAAAAGCAGGAGGGGAGAGGAGACCAGACTGTTTAATAATTAATTAATGATGGGATTAAATCCTATTTTGTGCTGAATGAATGCGAATCTTAATATTATTTCGCGTATCGCGCATTAAAAGACTTTAAAGGCTCTCTCTCACGATATGTGTGATGTTGCAATTAGACGTTAGATTTTTTGCAATATTAGAAGACAACAAATTTCTAAAAATATTTAATTAAATTTAAGACCAAAGAGATCGTAAGCGAGTTTCATGACATATGATATTATATCGTTTTTTTATATCGTTTGGACGCATTTACGATTAATTTCCCAAAGACTTTGCGTGCTACACGTGTGTGATTAATTGATTGAGAGTGGATTCATATATAAAAGTGTGATTCAGAGACATAATTGTGTTCAACTCGAATCGGTTAATCAGGATCGAATTGGTTTATTACGTGAAATAATTATCCAGTATTTATTGCGTACAAAGTTTTATACACCGTGTTCTTTGTACCAAGATTCGAATGTTCCTATGTTTTGAATTTAGAAATATCTCTATATATAAGTTTTTAAGATATTTTTCTTATATCATATGTTATTATATCATGTTATTTGTTCATTATTAACGAGACTTTATTTTGTTATATTTTAATTTAATTTCTTTATTTTTTGTTTAAAATCTATTAGAATTTAGGAGATCATTTAAATGCGAGATTGTTTTATTCGATCTTGTATACAAAAAGATTAATAAGACTAGACTAATGAAATTAGTGTTGTGTGTTAAACTCACATACACGCTGTATTAATAAATACGTATTGCAAAATCCGCCGAGTCTTCTTGTTCTCTGCGTGTTCCTCGTAAGCGGAACAAGCGCGGTTTACATGAGCGTTTCAGAACATTGACATACTTGCTTATAAAGTAGAAGATTACGATATCGTAATTCAAAACCGAATCCAAAAAGGAAGGCACGAAAGGCACTAAGACATTTCATAACGTGATGGTTTTATTACGAGATATTACGCTGAATCGCTAAAATAAGAAGACATTGTGTAAACCACGCTTGTATGTATGTAGACTTACGAATTATCTGCATGTGGCCTTACATAAACAATCTAACACTTGGCTTTTCGACCAAATCGAAGCATGCTGCTTATAACAATATAACAAGGTAAGATAAAGGTTTATACGCTTTACTATTTGTATCATGGAGCTCTCTTGGGAACTAATCTCTTCCTCTTGGCAGGCACCGATTCGCTGGTTCGAACCGGAAGCGTACAAAGCCAAGCTAGCAGCTGCTGGTCCCGTTGCGATATTACCGATTGGCGAAGCGGAAACCGATCCCGAGTGAGGCCGGAGGTTAAATCTATCGCCTTCCTCTCCCACCTTGGTGATGAGAAATTTTCAGAGAACGACGTGTATGTGTGTGTGTGTATGGGTGTGGGTGTGTGTGTGTGTGTGTGTGTGGTGTGTGCTGTAGCATCTTGTCGGTCGTAACAAGATTCCGGCGTGTTTTGTTTTCATATGTTCTTAGAAAAAAAAGAAGATACTTTCCATCAAAGAAAAGGAGAGATGGAATATACGTCAAAGAATTTCATTGACAATATCTCAAGGAAAATATATATCTTCGCCAAGCATTTTAAAATGCAAATCATCGAACACTTCATGCAATTGACCGGCTAGTCATTAGAATGAAAAATGTTATATTTATTCAACGAAAAATGTTCTATTTATTTAAAGAAAAATATTTATTCAGCGTAAAATATTCTATTTATTTAGCGAAAAAAAATGATTGTATTTATTCAGCGAGAAAAATTTATACGCGATCACTGTATTCATCTTTTTGCCAATTAATTTATACGTCATACGTATGTTCTCGAATTGCGCCGACTCTATATGGCACGCACGTGACTTGTGCAATATTTTGTGCAGACAATTTCAAAGGACAAGAATGTTGTGTTTAGTTTTTTAATTAATAACAAAAAAAAAAGAGACAAGATCAATTGTTAAAACCGCACATTGAAAGACAGCTGTTAACTTTCGTACGCGTAGTTACGATAGGATTAGTAGCATTAGACTGAGGAATTAAGATTGCGCATTCGAGCTCATGTAAAGAAGAGTAGAAGTATCTTTTATAAGCGAGACTATTACTATTGTTTATATTGATTTTACTACTCGTCTAATCGAGTAGTATTCGAGAAATATTTCTCAGTCTCGGAGGAGAAGATTAATTGCGAAAGACTAATACCTTATTATAGAAGTAAAAATCAAGAACATCTTACAACAATTACAAGAACAAATTCTGCGCTTTTGTAACACGATTGTAAGTACCAATTCGGAAGGCGATCCCAGATTCTGTAGAATTTCAGTTCCATCGTGTATAACGCGCGTTATAACGGTGGGGGATGGAATCGTGATTTATAGTATAGTCTAGTCTACCTATTTCAACGTAGGAAACTACCATTTTTGGTATTTACTCTGCTGTGACGCAATAACCAAAAAAAAAAAAGAACAGAGAAAAAAGAATAAATTCTTTTCTTTATATTTTATATACGATAAACGGAAGCGTTCGTGTGCTGTGTGCAGTTTATATCGTGAGAATCATTCTATAGCCGATGGTTTTCTTCGTTTATATTGTTTCGATACGCAATTAGCGCGCGTGATAATGCCTCGCTTTAATTTGAAGTGAAATCATCACGGAATTACGTAAGTAATCGTTATGATCACGTTTTGCCGGAGAATATGATTACTTGTTATATGTGGAATCTTAATTTTCATTCATTTTGATAGAATTTTAATTCGGATATTTACGATGTATTTTCTTGCGCGATATATTACCAAATGAGATTTTAATATGAAAAATTTATACAAAGGCCATTTCTCTCCCTACGATGCTGTTAATATTTAATTAATTTGGCTATCGACGCGCGTTTGCGGAATTGTACTGCACCACGTCTAGGACACTTGCGTTCGTTTTTAAGTTTTTACACAATTTAATATTTATTACGAATTTACACTCTATTTTACTTCGATATTAAATTTTATATCTTATATAATTTATTTCTATCGTCTCTAACTAACTGCGCAGTAACGTAATAGAGAATACTACAATATATTATTGTACCTTGTCGTTTATGATAATAAATCATCAAAGTCAGAGACAAAGCCACTGATGACTGCCTTCTTTTACCCCTTTGAAGAATGAACGTCTTATATACGAAAACTGGATATGTATGTAATAATAAAAGATGGACTATGTCGATCCGGCACTAATCTTTTATTATTCCAATAATAATAATAATATATATATATATAATTATAATATATATAATATATATATATATATATATATATCGAAAAATGAGATAATCACTGAAACATACACATATGTACCTCCCGCCGATTTCGCGGGCTCGGAAAATTGTACTAGATATCAATTGCACTCTTGCTCGAGTCTCCTTGTAAAAGTTAAAAATTTTAGTAGTGCTCGACGAAGGCTCGCGCTCGCTGATTGCATTTTCTTTCTCGTTTCTTTCTTCTTTTTATTTCTCTCCCCTCTCAATTCATTTACATTGCTATTATTTCGTTATATTGCGAGTGATTGCGAGCGGCCTATCGTGCTGCTTTCTTTTTTTTTTTTTTTTTTACTCGTGGAAACATACACATTATCGTATATCAATACTTCGTAGTCCAGTCTAAAATCAATCTCGGCTATGATCTACCTAGAGCGTATATGTATATTAACCGATTCTTTCCCCGTCACGAGATTATCAATATAATAATATCGTCATCCTGCTGTTGTGTAACTGTGTGGGACAATGATGCGCCTATTACATAATAAATAACAGTTTCGCCAATTAGCGATAATTGATAACGCTACTTCTACGGAAAATTAACGTGACACGCGGCGTAAACGTGCGACGGATGGGTTTCTCTCTCTCTCTCTTCTGCTATCTTTCTTTTCTTTTTCCACGTTTCCATACATACGTGTCCGCGATACGTACGCGAAGAAAAGAACAAACAAACAGAATCGCCGATGTATCGGGGGAAGCGTATCCCATATCTCGATGATAAACGCTGCGGAGTCTCACCCCCGGAATTTGCAATCCCGGAGCGTATCTCTCGCGAATCCTCTTATGTACGTACGTATATCTATGCGTGTGTACCTTATAATTAATTATAGCAGTAATTACGCATATGACGTGCGCGTGTAACATAGACTTGTGGGAACGCTTTGCGTTTCCGATCGATAAATAGTCAGCAGAGCGCGACTCGCGTTTCCTTCCACCTTTTCCCTAAAGCGTCGACACTTAACATACTTTTAACACCCTCGGCCGATCGAAGAATAACAGCGGCGCCCCTTGTGTATGTACAAGCCTCAATAAAACGAACAATAAAACGACGATCCCCGCGCGGAATAATCGCAATGATCGGGGCCGGATTCGGCCGGCTACGTCCACCTTGTAACCCAGGCGGATTCGAATCGAAGGGCCAAAGATTAAAAGATATACTTGGCGCGCTTGGATGATCAATAATACAATATATTACTCTTCTTCCGAGACAAATAACAGAATACAATAGATTATGCATATACAATTTCTAGCTGGTTAGACATATTGTTTCTTTTTTAGGCAAACTCTATTTCGTTATGCCGAGCTCACGATTTCCGGCGCCGATCGTAATTTCTATTCTAATTCGAAAGTGAGACATTTCCATTTGCTTGGGTCGCAATGTAAAAAAAAAAAACACAAAAACAAAAGAAGAAAAGAAACATCCATTTCAAAGAGAATAAAGTAAAGGAGTAAAAGTAAAGGAGTATATCTCGGAACAAAAGTTCTTCTAGTAATACAAATGTACTATTATATTAAGCACATGCGCCAGAATGTATCGCGATTAAATTGTGAAAATAGGATGCTATATTCTAACGCTTATTATCAACAAGTGAGCATAAAATATATATATATATATATATATATATGTGTACATATACATATACATATACACACCATACACACACACACAATATATATGTACATCTATATATATAATGTGTGTGTACTTGTTATATAATTATATATTATAATATATATAATTATATATAAATAATTATAATATATAACTTTATATATGATGTGTACTCATGTATATATATGTTCACATATGTGCCTAGTACCTTTCTACTCGATCCTGAGTAAGGTCCGCGCAAGATGTGCAAATAATGTTAAGAAATTAAAGGATACATTTTCTGGTTTATTTTTATAGCCTAGAGACATCATCTTATAAAACATAAATCGCTAAAAGCGATGTAATTCACTTAAAATATATATATATATATATTTATATATATATATTTATTATATATATATATATTTATATACATATATATTATATATATATATATAATATATTATATTTTATATATATATAATATATTATATTATATTATATATATATATTTATATACATATATATATATATATATATTTAGTATTCTTTAATTATCGTTT